TGGATTAAATTCCATATTTTAGTGGATATTCCATGATTGACAACATGTGGTTTGATGCTCTGTAGCAGTTAAATGTTATGAGACAATTAAAAATGTCTCTGGTGTTCCTTTATTATGTGTAACACCAATGAGGATCAGTAACACCAGTGACTCCTATGGAGAGATAAAAAAGTGGACGTTTCTGTAGAATGACCGAAACGCTAAAGTAGTTCAGAGTAATTACTTGAGCATTTTTGGGAATCATCACCATAGCAACAGCTCTCTTATTTAGGTAGAAACTGTCAGTACTGTTTCCAAACCTGCTGAAGATGAGAACAATGGCGTTGTTCCATCTGTTGCATTTTTCAGATGTTTTTCAGGTGAATTTGCTCAGAGGTAATATCTTCCCTGCTCTGAAGTAAAAGCACCCATGTAGACTTTTCTCACCATTATATGTGATTACAAAACACACACATTCTTATAAACACACGTAGTCCCACGATCTCTCTCTCTCTCTCTCTCTCACACACACACTCATTCTGAGCACTGTAAAGTGTGTTTGGTGTTTGTCAGACTGTCGGGTGTTGACCATAAACGGCAGGCTGTGGAGGACACCACCCGAATGTTAATGATGACCCTGCTGCCTCTACAGGCCAGCACTTATCTCCTGAGGCATTAGTCAACATTAGTCTAACTCTAACTGCTTAATTATAGCTGGCACAAATGAATCATTCGTTGGTCGTGTTATGGCCTATAACACAAACGCCAGTGTCATTTCTTCATGTTCCTGACCTGGCATATGACTAACAATAAGGCTCATTTATGATTTTGCTTTAAAAATAAAGCATGAGTTTCCCAATCTATTGTATGAAGTTGTGTTTCAATAAAGGACAGAACATGAGATGCCCTGAGGAGCGTTTTGGCAAAACAAAGTTTATAATTTAAGTATTTATGTTTTTTTCCCTCTTACAGAAAGAATTGACAGGCTATCAGTTAACATGCAGTTTCTCCAAAACTGGGGAAAAGCATAAATCATGGCATTTTATTTCCTGTAAGTGGGTCTCACTGCTGAAATAGTGGGACTCTATAGGCAGAGTAGTCTCAGAGTAGCTGAGTAAGAGTAAATCTACTATAGTACCAGTTCCAAAGCCAACCCCAACCCCAACCCCAACCCTAACTCCAAATCTAACTCCAACCACAACACCAACTCAACTCAACTCTAACCTCAATCCCAACCCAACCATTAGTCTGATCTCAAGGCCAGCTCCAGCTTTAACCATCAGACCAAACTTAAGCCCAATTCTAACATCAGACCAAAGCCAAGTCTAATTCTAACATCAGACCAAACTTAAGCCCAATTCCAATATCAGACCAAAGCCAAGCCTAATTCTAACATCAGACCAAACCCAAGCCCAGTTATAACCATCAGACCAAACCCAAGGCTAATTCTAACATCAAAAGAAACCCAAAAACAGTTATAACCATCAGACCAAACCCAAGCCTAGTTCTAATTATCAGATCAAACTTAAGCTGAATTCTAACATCAGACCAAACCTAAGCCCACTTCCAACATCAGACCAAAGCCAAAACTAGTTCTAATTATCAGATGAAACTTAAGCCCAATGCTAATTTAAGCCCAATTCCAACTATTAGTCCAATTCAACTAAAATTCTAAGCATCAGTCCAAACGTCAACTCAATGCAAAATTAAGCCCAATTCCAACTATTAGTCCAATTCAACTAAAATTCTAAGCATCAGACCAAACCTAAGCTTAGTTCCAACCCAAGACAAGCTCTAACCATCAGACCAAACCCAAACTCAGTTCTACCATCAGACCAAATCTAAACCCAGTTGTAGCATTGTACCAAACTTCAACTCAATTCTAACCTAAGCTCAATTCCAACTGTCATTCCAAATCTAAGTCAAATTGTAACCATCAGAAAAAAAACCCAGGCCTGATTCTAACTATATAACTAAATCTTAGTCGAATTATAACCATCAGACTAAACCTAAGTCCAATTCTAACCATCACACCAAACCCCAATCCAACTCTCACATCACACCAAACCTAAGCCCATAAAAGCTCCAGCCTTTAGCCCAACCCCAAACCTCACTGTGCTGTGTCTGCAGTATAGGACACAGAAGTACAGCTCTGGCTCTACATTCTTCATTGTAGCTGCAGACACGTTTCAGATCATTTTAGATGATGGATGGTGAAACCTGCGCCCTAATTAACTCCGTCACACCAGCTGTTATAATTCCTCATAGTGAACTTCAGGCTGCATCTCCGTACATCTTTAGGTTGACCAACCGGCTCTGTAAGAGTTTAACATGCATCACTGGAGCAGCGCTACATTATTTCTGTTACTCCTCAAATTATTTATTTCAGTAAATGCAAATTCAAATCTGTCGTTAAGATTTATCGATCGTTCGGAAAACACTTTACACAAGTCTGTTAAGAAATCAATTGATTATAAGAATAAATAGTAAACACAAATACCAAGAATGTAGTAAATGACAGTTGGAAAACTTTATTTTCATCAACGTTCGTCCAATGATTTTAAAGAAATTTTCGGCGTAATAATAATAATAATAATAATAATAATAATAATAGAGACTAACCATTTTAGTCATCATTTGCTCCACAGCCCTTCTTAAGTCCCCAATTTTGAATAATCTTAAATGTCATCAAAATAATATCAAAATTCAATTCGCAACAATTATAATCCTCGATCTTTAATAATGTAAAATAGACTTCTGATTGTAAATAATATAGAAGCTCCAGATCTGAGTAATAGAAAGCTCTCGTCCTAAATAATATCAGACCCCAACAGTACACACAGCCCCCCAATCCTAAATCACATGCAAACTCTAAATTACACGAAAGAGAAAATAATGGTGAATAATAATCATTTGAAAGCGCGGTGCTGAACAGAATGAAAGCCTGCGGAGTTTGAGGGTCTGAGCTGTTCATTGGCTGATTCTTAATCCCACAATAAACTGTGCTCCGCTTTTTATGAGGACGGATTTTCAATAAGGCTGAAAGGTCTGGCACGAGCCTAAATTCAGTGAGTTTGGTTTAAGATGAACCTGAAAGAGTCCGAACTTTAACATCATCCAACCCGCTTAACCTGCAACTGCGATCCGGCCTGAAAAACACAGCGAAACTCAACCACTGCTGTCCGCAATGAGGATTAACTACAGCGAGGATTTAACTACAATAATAATAATAATAATAATAATAATAATAATAATAAATGTGTAAATAAAAAGCAGCCCGCGTGCTCACTCTGTATACGCGCATCTTGGCTATTTATTATTCAGGAGAAAACTGCGCGAACTGCATCTCCTTTTTCTTTCTTTTTCCGTCTATTTTATTCCGTTTGTGGATCCTGCAGTTGGCTGGATTTCACTGTTCAGCTGACATTGTTCCTGTCTAAAGGCAGCGCGCGCAGGAAGAGCTCCGTTCGGCCTGATCTGCACTCTGGAGACGGGCTTTGTTTGCGATAAAGCGGTTGAATTGAGTTGAACTGAGCTTAATAGAAAGACATACAAATAACACTGTACTGAACGGGATTATCATCCATAAATGAAGCCATATACGAACAATAGAATTTACCTGAACTTTACTGGAACCCATGTTAAAAACTCTGAATTGAGCTGATTTGTAAGCCATATAAATAGCACTGAGTTGGACTGACCTGAATTAGAACCCATATAGATAACACTGAGTTGGACTGACCTGAATTAGAACCCATATAGATAACACTGAGTTGGACTGAACTGAGGTAGAAGCCGTATAAATAACATTGAATCGAACTGGACTGAAATAAAACCCTTATAAATAACACCGAATTGGACTGAACTGAAATAGAACCCATTTAAATAATACTGAATTGAACTGGACTGAAATAAAACCCTTATGAATAACGCTGAACCGTACGGAACTAAATTAGAACCCATATAAAGAACATTGAATTGAACTGGACTGAAATGGAAGCCGTAAAAATAACACCTAATTGAACTGGACTGAAGTAGAACCCATATAAATACCATGGAATAGAACAGAACTGATTTTGAACCCTTTTAAATCACCACGAACTGAACTGGATTGAAGTAGAACCCGTGTAAATAACACTGAATTGTACAGAGATGAGTTGGAACCCATACAAATAAGGTTGAACTGAACAGAACTGAATTGGAACCCATATAAACAGCACTGGATTGGACTGAACTAAAATAGAATCCATATAAATAATACTGAATTGTACAGAACTTAACTTGAAACCATATAAATAACAACAAATTGAACTAGACTGAAGTAGAACCCGTTTAAATAACACTGAATTGACCTGAACTGAAGTAGAACCCGTATAAATGACACTGAATTGGACTGAACTTAAAAGAGAACGCGCATTAATAGCAATGAATTGAACTGGACTGAAGTAGAACCCGTGTAACACTGAATTGAACTGGACTGAAGTAGAACCCGTATAAGTAACACTGCACTGAACTAGTCTGAAGTAGAACCCATATACATAAAATTGAACTGAGCTGAGTTTAAATGGAGCTCATATGAACAACACTGAATTGAACTGAACTGAAATAGAACCTGAACTGGACCCGCTATAAATAACATTTAACTGGACCGAACTGAATGGAACCCACACGCAGAACACTGAACTGAACTTAACTGGAACCCGTATAAACAACACTGGACTGAACTGAACTGAACTGAATGGCGCGAGACCACCAACTCTAATCCCAACCAATAATTCCAGGCCAACCTATAACACCAGCACCCTTTAGTCTTAACACGCACCTCAGGCCTGGAGTCTAGCCCTAAACTCTAACCCTAACCCCGGGGACCCTACAGCCTCCTCGCTCCGTCTCTTTCCTCCAGTTACTTTAGGACATCTTTCCTTTCCGCTCAGACGCGCACGTGACGTCACGCGGACGCCGGAGAAGCGGCGTAAAGAAAAACCGGGAGAGGCGCGCGCAGCGACCAAAGCGGACAGAACGCGCGCGCTGCGGGAGATTTACACACCTAGACGCGCTCATCTGGCACACTAGCACGCGCTTTCTGCACTTTTCTGCACTTTTTCGCCCGCTACATTTTGTAATCTGCATGTGCGCGAGCTGCATGGGGACAGTTTAATCCGGCTGAAGGAATCGAGCGGTGAGTTTACGCCTCATTTTCTTCTTCTTTTTTGGTTCTGCGTTTCTGCAGCGCAGCCTTTTTCACACGGCTTTAACTTCAGCTAACATGGCTCACAAACGGGGGCGCGAGGACGAACTTTTAACGTGGTATTGGGTTTGGACTGAGGTTTAACGACACTGTCAGGGCTGCAGTTGTGGGTGTGATAATGTTATGGCACCCTTAGCCTCGTAGTTTGGCTCGTGGAGCTCTTACGCTGCTATTGCGCAGCCTTGAAAAGAGAAAAGAGTTCACGAGCTGCTTATTAACGCAAAAAAATTACAAGCGCTAAATTAAATTGCGGTCAAAGTAAAGATTGAATTTATAGATATTTAACAGAATTTTTCTGCAGTCGTGAGCGGTGTGCGTGTCGGTGTAGGTGTGTGTGTAAGTGTGTGTGCCGCAGTGATAGTCTGGAGATTTATTAGCAAACATAAAACACAAAGATAAAGGTCGCGAGAATCCATCACGATTTAGAAGACCTTCTGAGCAGATTTGGGGGCGTTTTGATCTTTGACCTTACGTTTCTGGACTTACACAGTCAGTTTATACTAAAAAAAAAAAAATACATAACAAAAACCAGGCTTTACTACCGCGCGTGAGAAAATAGCGTGTTTAAAAAAGGTCCGCGAGACTTCAGCGAAGGCAGCTTTGAAGGCGTGCGCGTGCTTGGTAGTGCTGGTAAAAGCCTTCACTCATTTATCTCGCTGTGTCAGATGCAAGGCTCGCGCGCTGAGGATGAACAGGCCGAAGCTGGGCTCGCGTTTGATTTTGATTCGCATTTGAAACGGAACTGAAGCTAGGGCACGAGCTTCATAAGCGCGCGTGCCCTCATAAACTCCACAGCTAAAGAGTTTCTCCGCGAAAGTGTTTGTTATGAATCGTATAAAAAGTATATATTAAAAAAAATCAAAGTAATAATAATAAATGTTCGTAGAGTTGATGCACTGCGTGGATTCAATTGTGTACATTAGTAAAACATGGGACACGAAAACAATCCCTCACATAAAGGATGTAGAGAAATATTATGAGAAATATAAAATTTATAGCATACCTATAATATACCTATAAATCGTCTATAACACTCAGCTAGCGCTTTTACAGTAATCTATATTAGTTTTGCAGTTTGCGGTAGTTTTCTTTGTTTTGTGTGAAATTTTCAACACTGTAAAAAGTGGAATCAGGCAAAAATAGTCTTTTTGAGGTTTGAACCTCAAAGGTTTGAAATGTTGCTTTTATTTATTTTAACAAAAACTTTGCTTTGCATTGTTTCATTCAAAGTATGTATTTGAGTTGAATGACTGCTCGTTACCACATTAAGTATTTTTAGGGCTGAACTCACGAATAATATTTTAGTGTAGAATATTTTCTCCTCTGTTTAATATTCACACTATCTTATCCCAATCTGTAACACTGTAGTGTAAACTATACTAACTGAACAGGCTTTAAGATTCTTATAGGAATCCCTGTAGATCCCTTTGATCAGAGGAAGCGAGTACAATAAATAATAAACGTATGTTCACGTTTTATTAACGTGGAAATGATTCACACCTTCGAACCGAGTAAATTCGCTATTTGCGCTATTTTACATTGTTTTGCTGATCGCGTGAGGTTGGGTTCTCCTACTGAGACTTGGTTCTTCCCAGTGGTTCTTTCTCTGAGGGAGTTTTTCTTTGTCACTGCAGTGTTTGGTTTGCTCGCTTGAGGCCTGGAGTCGGATTTTGTTAAGCTGCTTAGTAAAAAAAGCGCTATTCAAATAAAACTAAACTAAATCTGAATTGAATAGTTTACAGGTCGCTGTAAGACTCACAGCTGTATGTTGTATGTTATCCTGGGAATTTTAGCTTTAAAGCTTTCTGTAGGTTGGCTATACTGTTGGTGTCATTCAGTGTAATAACCCAGCATTTGTGTATCTCAGCATATTTTTCCAATTTTAAATTTAGACGTTTTATAAGATCGACTGTCAAAGAACAGCTGCTTCTGTTTCAGCTCTAAACTCTGAAAGCTGCGCTGTACTTAGACTAAAGACTAGCAGTGCTGTAGTGGGGGAAACAATCAGGCCGCGAGCGTCCATTCGGTTTTATGTTTAAGCATTTTTAAAAAAATTACATACTTTTTCCCGTCGAAATTTTTGACGGAGCAATTCTGCGAATCACCCGTGATTATATAAATGACATAAACAGCTCAAATAAATAGATTACAAATATATATAAATATATACAGACTGATCTTGGTTTCCATTCCATAAGTGTCCATTGCTAAATGCATAAATGCACATAAAAAATCTAGATAAATAAATAATATATGATCATTTAACTCTGGGTTAATCTGCAGCTCGTGCTTCGCTATGTTTCCCCTTTGACCCCGGGAGGGGGGCGGCGGGGAAATGGGCGGGGGGGGTGTCTCAGGGTCAGCAAAGACCTGGAAAACAGAGTTATAGAAAAATTACAACAAAAGGAAATAAACATTGGAAAAAAAAAAAGATCAAAAATAGAAAATACATATAAAATAAAAAAACTGATAAATAGGACTATCCTGGCGCACGAGCTGTTTCGCTGCTTTTTAATACGCAGAGGATCTCTGTAGTAGGACTGTACAAATGCATGGATTTGAAGGTCAAATGCATCAATTTTGGAACGTTAGAATGGCTCATAATCGATTATGATAATAGTACACTGATAGTAAATAAAGTTTGCGCTCATTTTATTTAAGGCAAAATAAAAGTCTCCTGTTTTCAAATGCAATAAAACCTTTGCTGTATATTCCACCACTGAGCAAGTTACATGTGTGCACATTATGCTTTTTAAAATAAAAAAATATATATCCTACAAAAGTTGGAGAATTTACAGTGAGAGTGCGCGAATTTACAGTGAATTTACGTGTAGAGAAACTTCCTGAAGAATCGCCATGGAATCGAACCCAGTTCAGTATTCACACAAAGCCATAGAGCATAGTTTCAAAATCAAAATTCAACAAATTAAATTGAACAGAAATGTAATTGGTGGGAGCTGTGATTCACCGCTGGAGCAGAGAGTGAAACATGTTTCTGTTGTTGAGTTTTTGCCTTTCAGGGCTGTAATGCCACCCGAAATGCCAGCAGAGCCCTGAAGCGCTGAAGACTGGCGCCTCCACTGATATTAAAGCCAGATTATATCATCAGATTAAACCAGCACGTGCTCACTACTACAATCCCTGAAAACCAGAATCTGTGGCTCGCAGCTGTGACGTGTTGATTAACAGCGCTTTTCCAGGTTGTGACGGATTCACCCCGCGCGCTCTGTGTGACCAGAGCTCTTTCTGTGTGACTGTGAATGTGGACACTGCAGTTCAGTAAGAGAGCCAACCTGCTGATAATCGCCGAGTCGCGCGGACTGCGGGAAAAAATAACACGCGCTGTTTTGTTTTTAACGCATCTGTTTGGAGAGTGTAAACCCTCCCCGCGCGCTTTAAGCCCACTGGGGCTGGGTGGAATCCATCACAGACTCATTCAAGATGACCTGAGGGCACTTCAATAAAAGGCCACCAGGATTTCACAGAATATTATAATTCAGAAAAGACGGTGAAATGTAGCGTGGCGTAAACATAAATAGAATTCACACATATAAGATCCGTGTTTAACTCCAAACAGAACCCAATGATGCATGGCACAAATTTTAAAAAGCTTGGAATTATATTCACTAATATATCTCCATGCAAAAATTTTGTTGCATATGAATTATAATACGATAAAAGTTCAAATACTTCGTTGACAAAAAAAATGTTGCAAAAATTAAGCATCTTTGCGTGTCTAGAAAGACAAACAGCTGCAGACTAAATCACCATAAATCTATACAACATATTATAAATATATAACATTACATAATTACTTTATAAATATAGTGATTTAATAAATGTAGTCATTTTAAGTATAGTACGTAATCCAGTAAGTGTTTGTACCATTATATAAATAAATAAATAGATAAAAAAATAAATAAATAAATACATACAAACTTGAAATCTAACAAAACATGGTGCTGAGTTTATACACTCCAAACTACACCGTGTAAGTTAATATTAAATTAAACAACAGCAGTTATTAACACAAGACTAGCGATCGTAAGTTTTTGAATGGTATATTTTAAGCATAACCAGCTTAAACTCGAACTGCTTTCTGTTTGTGATTTTCTCATTTCTCATTTGTAGGTTCAAAAATAACAACAACAAAAAAAACTAAAGTGGCATATTTAGGTATTAGCAAAAATATTAGATTCAAAAATAGTAAATTACAGCCGCACGAGCAAAACTCAAAATGCGAATAAACACAATTTTATATGAGGTAGTAAAGCAATGAACTGAAATATGAATATGAAATATAGTGTTAAAATAACAGTGTCACACATGAGGAAATGAGGAATATATAACTACAATGAAATATGAATAAATAAAAATGTAGGACGGTTTATTTGCAATTTTATTTCCATTTATGAATTTGGTCTTAGTCCAATAATCACAAGTGTAAAGTATAAATATTTATGATGGCAGTATTGCTGATAATATCCATAACTGGGGCCATTGATGACATTGATGATGGCCATGTCATAATATTGATAATATTTATGATGGTAAATATTAAAGATGTTGATGTTCTCGACGATATTAATGCGCCTTGCAGTGTCATAAACTTAGCTGTAAAGTTGGGCGAATTTCACACTGGAATTGATTTACTGTTGCTGGTTTATTGTTTGTACGTTTATTGTTTACCTTGCCTGTATAAGCAGTCATTTTGGCGCTCGAGCTGCAAATGGGCCTCTCCAGTATGTTCTGATTTATTTTATTGTTGTCTTTTTCTTTTTTGTCCAATTGCGTTGGTGTGAATAGCGAAACTGTAAGAAAAATATGATATGTTATGAAGACTGGTGATTAGAAATAAAAATGAAATAATTAAACAAGCAGAGATGATGCACATACCACGTAAACTCACATTCACCTACTATTTGACCATT